TTTTTGGCTTGAAACACAGTAGCACAAAAAAACTATGCTCTGTTGGGTTGTTATATTGAGGATGCAGTTGTGCTTTTAGAGGGATAATATACTCCTTCGCCTGGACCTTCATTATCATTTATAAAAAGAACCCACTTATAGTCATAAGATTCAGCAGTGATGATGCTTATTAATAGCTGCAATGCAGTCAGAGTCAATACTGTGTGTGTATGTGAGATATTAAGTAACATGTACATGTCTGTGTTTTTAATCAAGTATGTGTGTGCCAAATGAAGAGACCTCCATTACTTACATGTTAGTTTCAAAAGATTTAAGCTTTTAAAGCTTATTTTTAATGCACTGCTGGATGCTACATTGCAGAATTTTTAATCCCAATGAAGCAGAGCACAGTGTAATTCTGCATACTATTTTTTCCTCCCTCAGTCTCAACCTTCCCTTGTCTGATTGTATATGCATCTGAAACCGCAAGTGTGCAACTACAAAACTCTGCAATGTTAAGTGACTTAATTCCTTCCCTTTTTCTGACCATCGGCATTGTGGGCTACATACAACAACACTTTGTGATTAACTGGAAGAGAGATAAAATGAACAGTAAAGGTCTGTAATGTAATATTATTATCTCATCCACATTGCATGATACACTGAGTGGCTGCTTTATTGTCTACGCCTGTACAATATAGTGATATTGTTGGATTTGATGATTTTGTTTGAGAGTCTACCCGTACGGCATGCTTTACTTGGTGTTTCCTCTGCAATTGAAATACAACAGTGGTTTCAATGATGCTGAATTTGTTCATCTGAAAGATAGATTCTGTAATTTTGTTTACAGAGTGAGTGTTGCTGTATTAGAAACCTTGAAGCTTCAGTAAGAGGAATTGATTGAGGTGTTGAAGTTGTGTGCTCTTGGGTACAAAACTCAGGAGGGCTATCTGTGAGCTGTAGACCTTCAAATAGCTGTCCTGGGGACTCCTCGGCAGTGAATCAATAGGTAGTTAATTTCAGGCCACATG